CCCAAGGGAAAGAAGCTCTGCCGGTCACGCCCAGCAGCAAACATTAGTATTCTTGACTGTTTTAGACACATCAGGGATGGTGCAGAGGGTTTTGAGAACCTACTTGTCCTTGCAGGCCAGGATCTGTGGGACATTTCATCTGTTTTTTAGGGGATGAAGCCTTGGGGAGAAGAGAGAGAGAGAGGCATTGTCCCCAGTGATAGCCAGAAGAGAATTCTGTGATGTCCCACTCACCATGGGCTGAAACCTGACACATAACCTGTGCTCCATTTGGGGTGCCTTGGAGGCTTGTAGCCCAAACCAACTCTTGTAGGCTCTAAAGCCTTCTGCCTTTTATACATTCTTTCAGAGAAAGAATGATTCTGGGGGTCTCATTCTTTCAGTTCTGTCCTGAATGGCAATTTAATGTTTGCTAGTCTTGGTTCAATCCTCTCCTTCGTGGGGTCCCAGTTTCTTTGTTTGGAAACTGATGCAGTGTATAAAACACACTATGTATAAAATGCAGCAGCCATGTCATCAGATCATCTCTGGGGTCCTTTCTAGCTCTGGGTCTGTGCTCTTATCATAAGGATGCTGCATAATTACCATGGCCATGGCCCGGTGGCCTTGGAAATATCCCTCTCTAATTATGCTTTCAGTTTGCTATTTCATTTGACTAGACTGTGTAACTGTTTCATCTTTCTGGCCTCATCTGTTTTAGGCTTTGTATACTATGTGGAAGTGGAGCATTATTTCTTATTTAATACAGCTATCCAGCTTTCAAGCTACTGCAATCCGTTCAATTTCTGTCTCTGACATACCCGCTCTCCATCCTCATTGCTTAGAGGCCTAGTGATCTTGGTTCTAGAACCGGAAGACAGAAAATGTTCCTTAATTGTTCTCACTAGCAAAGATACCGTAGGATCATAGACTTAGAGTTGGAAAGGCCCTTAGAGGTCATGTCTAATTTCCTCATTTAGTAAATGAGGGAAGTGAGGCCCAGATGATCAGAGACTGTTGTGTTATCATCCAAAATGGGGACTTTTCATAGAAGTATCCCTTCCGTAGGTAGAGAAGTGCCCTGCCCCTGCTTTGGCCCTCAATTATTCTACGAAGCCCATGTGAATTTCAAATAAACCTTTCTTTGGTGGGGATGATATCCCATGTCTTGTCTCCAGCTTGGAACATTCCTAAGTGGTCATTTACTTGTTGGGGTACCTTTGTGGATTATGAGATGCACAGCTAGGTCCCCTCATTAGTGTGACTAAGGAACTCAGTGCATTGGTCACATATATTGAAATTAGAACTATTCGAAGTTATAATTATGTAAAATGTGGTAACTGATTCCAGCTCATTGGAAATGTCCAGTGCAAATTTGAATAATGTGGCTTTAATATTGGGACGCAATTACCCTTCTTTCCATGAGCATGGCATAGCAATATAACATGTGTTTAAGATAATTTTTTCTCAGATATCCTAATTCATATATTTGAAAACCCAAACTTTTTTTTAAGGCAGTATTAATGGTGTTGAAAAGTTTACATAATTTTCTTTAACTTGGTCAATAACTCACTCAACTGAATTTCTACTGCACACCCAACACCATTATCTAAAGTGCATTAGTCAAACAGGCCCTGCCATGATACATTTTTCCTAAAATACTTTTAATCTAAATGTCCATAGCTTAATTGTTTGCTTTGTAATTTTGAAACAATATCTGGCCAGGTGAAATGTTGGTTGTGTTGGTCAAAAGAAAAGGAGCGTTCTTCTGGAGCCAAAAGCTTTGGCTTAATCCCCACTTCACTAAAGAAGCACAATTCATTTGTAGGCTTAAAGGAAGAGACCCCCAGATGGCTTGATGATTTTTCTATCGACATTTTCTATTGATATTTTAAGTTATTTTAGGAAGGAGATGATGAAAACTCTTCTTTAATTTTATGGCTATATTAGTTTTTGTTCTAAGTATGATATAAAATCAGATCCTATAATCTGCATTTAAGGTAGTGAAAACTGTGGTTCTGGATTTATATTTATAGAGAAAGAGTTACTCTGAATGTAATAGAACTGCAGGCTAACTCTCATGGTTCCTGATGAATACCTGGATGTGACTCGTTTATAGGTTTGGAGCAGTCAGAAATGAATCAGCAGATACAGGGCGTCCTCAAGATCTTAGTGCAATCTTAAATCTTGTTTTTGTTTTGTTTTTTTAGGCAGTTGGGGTTAAGTGACTTGCCCAGGGTCACACAGCTAGTAAGTGTCAAGTGTTTGGTCTGAGGCCCGATTTGAACTCAGGTCCTCCTGACTGCAGGGCCGGTGCTCTATCCACTGCGCCACCTAGGTGCCTCGCAGTCTTAAATCTTAATAAAACTTTTGGAATCCTGTTTAAGGTTAGGCTTTTGGAACACTGGCTATTTGTGAGGTCTTAGAGGCAAGAAGATCTCCCCCCCTTCCAAATTCTGCCTTTAATACATACTGGGGGTGGGAGGGAGGAAGGAGAGGGAACAAGCATTTCTTTGTGTGTGTGTGTGTGTGTGTGTGTGTGTGTGTGTGTGGCAATTGGGGTTAAATGACTTGCCCGAAGTCACACAGCTAGTGAGTGTTATATGTCTGAGGCTGGATTTGAACTCAGTTCCTCCTGACTCCAGGGCTGGTGCTCTATCCAGCCACTGTGCCACCTAGCTACCCCTTGGCACAAACATTTCTTGAGCACCAACTGTGTGCCAGGCACAGTGCCAAGTGCTTTGTAGATGTTATCTCATTTTATCCTCACAACAACTCTGGAAGGTAGGTGTTATTGGGATCCCTGTGTATAAGGCACTTAACCTTCCAATGCCCCAGGTATTTTGGTGAGGCAGTCGGGGCTAAGTGACTTGCCCAAGGTCACACTGTCCCTGGTATTTTTTGACAGACTATAAATGATAAAGCAAGATACTTCTCTGTATTGGTAGAGTGAGTTTTTTCTCTTGGCATTCTCTATGTTAATTCTCACTAGTTGGGTCCAAAACAAATAAATTAAAAATGTGTAAAGCTCAGGGCTGTGTCTTATGCATGTCAGTTGATTGTGTGTATCTAGTTCTCAGCCTATTATAGAAAGTGAGGTAACTGGCTTCTGAGTGGGAAGAATCTAACAGAATGTAAGCTCCTTGAGGGCAGGAATTGTTTTATGATTTGTGTTTATATCTCTAACACCTGGCACACCGCTTTGTACATGGTTGGCTCTTAATCAATGCTTATTGAAAAAAGAGTGAAATTAAAGGTATAAATTTCACCAAAGAAGAAACAAGATTGTCCCTTCTTTCTGATGACAGAATTGTATACTTAATAACCTCCAATTGAATTGAACTGATGTCAGAGGACACAGGAATCCTTCCTTGAGCATCCCTGACAACTGGTTAGCTGGCTCCCTATGCTGGGCCTCCTGACCTGAGTTGATTCTGTGGTACCAACCTCATCAGTGGAGTGAACCAGCGACGCAACCAGCTGGCCCAGGAGGTGATATAAAAGCCACCTAAGAGAAAGGAGGAATTCCATGAGGCTGTCCCTGCTAGCTGCCGTTCTCCCCACGCACTTTTCATCATAACCACCCAACCCAGGGACCACCCCTTTTGGCTGCAGTTTTCCAAGTTGGGTTGCAGGGCAGCATGAAGGATTAGAGGTAAAAGGAAGGGAGAAGGAGTTGAAAGATCTCACACCTACTGAGCGTTCGTTGGAGTGCTGTGCTCCATGTAATTTGAAAGGATCACACGGTGTTAGATTTGGAACCGCAAGGGACCTCCGAGGCCGTCTAGCCCACCCCTCTCATTTTACAGATGAAGAAATAGGTGAAGAGGAAGATGAGGCCTGGGGAAGTGACTTGGGATGATGGAATCGCAGATGTAGGGCTGGAAGGGGTCTCAGAACCCAGCTAGTCCAACACCCTCATTTGACGGACGCCCACTACTGGATTTTTACTCACCTGGTCCTAAGTTTGACCCCTGGTACATGGTCACATTGTACCTATGAGAACAGTTTAGTACTTGCACAGTCTGGCCCCAGTGAGATATCAGTTTGACTACTACCGGTCTTTTTGAGTAGCTTTGGTCAGGTGTGGCTAGGTGGCCCAGTGGCTTGAGTATTGGCCCTGGAGTCAGGAGGACCTGAGTTCCAGTCCAATCTCGGGTACTAACTAGCTATGTGACCCCGGGCAAGTCCCTTAACCCTGATTGCCTTTGTTCCCCTCCCCCCTAAGAAAAGTAGTAGCTTTGGTCAAAAAATTCCTCACCCAGAAGCCAACCTTCTAAACAGACCACAGAAGGTCTGTTAATAAGCCTGTACTTAAAACCATTCTAGATTTAGTAGGGCCAGCTAGGGCTTGTGCCCTGGCAGCATGACTTTTGGGGATGCAAGAGTCATTACTGCACTACCTTGGGGTAGGGGGAGCATCAGAGCCAGGCTTTAGTGGGGGCAGCCGGGAACTGTGGAGGATAAATGGATGAGGCCGCAGCTCCTGAACATTTCACGATAGTAACGATAGCTAGCCAGCCTCATGTAGTGCTTTGCATGTATTATTTCATTTAATCCTCTCAACGGCCCTATGACGTTGGCACTATCGTCATCCCCTGTTTACTGTGGAGGGAAGTCAGGGATGAGAGGGATTAATCAACTTGTCAGGGGTCACACACTTAGGAAGTGTCTGAGGTTGGATTTGAACTGAGGTCTTCTTGACTTCTAAGTCCAGCATATATACATACAAATATATATATACACACATGTATACAAACAGACATAGACACACATACACACATATATTTTAGGGAGTCAAATTTTTTTTTTTTTTTTTTTAGGCAATTGGGGTTAAGTGACTTGCTCAAAGTCACACAGCTAGTAAGTGTCAAGTGTTTGGTCTGAGGCCGGATTTGAACTCATGTCCTCCTGACTTTGGGGCCGGTGCTCTATCCACTGCACCACCTAGCTGCCCCTGACAAATCTTTTTAAACAGATGGATTTATGATTTACTTGGGTTTTTTTTTTTTTCTTTTTAGAATCAGGCCTATTGTACCAACCAAGTCAATTCTGCTTCTGTCTGGAGAACGTGGCTGTGGGAAGTCAACATTGATCGCAACTTGGGTGAATTCTTTCAGAGAGAGGAATCCCAGCACGTTAGTAATCCCTTATTATGTAGGAAGCAGTTGTGACCATAGCGACATCATGTCTGTGATGCATTACTTCATCACTGAATTACAGTATAAGCAATTCGGTAATTACAGATTTTTGGAGATTGCTTCATAAAAGCGAATTGGGTGGTATGCTGGTGTCAGCGTCTGGTGTCTCTCCTAACTATGTCTCCTTTTCTCATCTAATTCCCTCTTAATCCCAGCTCTCTATCTTATTCACTTCTTTACTCACCAAGCTAATCCTTTCCTAACCTATGTATTTTCCTGCTTACTTAACTTTAGCAAAGATTTATGGTGTGTGTGTGTGTACACGTGTGCTTGGCACTGTGGTAAATCCTAGGGGGGATCCAGGAGTGAATAGTCTTTGCTCTCGAAGAGGTTACTATTTTAGTCATACACTATTGAATAGGTATGTATCTCGTGATGGGTGTGTGCCATTTAAATGGTTGGATGTATCTGTGTTAAGTGGGAATGCGGTAAGATGGTGTTAGAAGTTTTTAACTAAGTAGGGGTGAGTTTGGGTGGGTCTGTATATGTGAATTTTATATCAATGATTTGTCCCTGGGGAATGTGGAAAAGGATACCGGGATCAACCTGGGCAGATAATAGTAATAATAAAAATAGCTGATATTTACATAGTACTTGGAGTTTGGCAAAGTGCTTTCCAAATATTAATTCCTTTGATCCTCACATCAGCCCTGTGAACTAGCTGCTATTGCTATCCTAACGTACAGATGAGGAAACTGAGGCACAGAGAGGTTAAGTGACTTGCCCAGTGTCATACAGCTAGGAAGTGTTGGAGGCGGAATTTACAATCTGTTCTTCCTTCTTCCTTACTCCAAGTCCAGAGTTTTATCAATTAAGCCAGCAGGCCTCCTCAGATGGGATTAATTATTTACAAAAGTGATCTTTCTTTCCCAAACATGCCAAAACAGGATTGGTTGAGCCTGGAGAAGTGATGAATTGTAATATATTTACTCTGTTGTTCCAAAGGTTAATTGTCACTTTTTCAAAAGCACCCTTTCATGTGCTTAGATTTTCCCTCATAGGAAAAGCAGGTGATCAATTACACAAATTAGGCTGAGTACAGAAGTGTTAACAGAGGTGAATCCACTAATATCTTTGTTCATTCATTCAACAACTGTTTTTTAAAAGTATTTTAATTCTAAAAATGTAACAAAAAACCTGTTTTTTCTTCCTTCTACTTCCCTTAATTGAAAAAAAAAAGGAAACCTTTCTAACAAATATGCAAAACAAATTTTCAAGTAATTACCCTTTATTAAGTTCCTACTATGGTGCCAACTGCTATTCTAGATCTTAACCAGTTAAGTAGCTTTATCTTTGAGTGAAAAAAACATTTCCTTTGGGCAGCAGGAGCCATCCCTCTGCCATCAATGGAAATCAATACTCTAGAGGTAGGGTCTGTAGGGGTCAGAGAAGGAAGGAAGTATGCCCGTGCAGGGGGAACAGAGCACTCTTCTCCATTCCCTAGATTGCAGGATGTAAGCCCTGCTATGGGGCAAAGTTTGTAGCCCGGCCAGGAAGAGGAAGGACAGGGGCAAAGGGAAGCAGGGGCGTTGGGTTTGGCTGAGTAAGCACCATAAGTCATAGGGACAAAATCTGAGCCACAGTGTTGCCTGGAAGGTCTTCTGGTGCAAGTTCATACACTTGGAGAACAGACATCTTGGGTGCAGAGAACATTCTAGTTCCATGCCCCTGGCTGGTTCGGCCTGAGCAGCATCTGGTCCTGAGGATCCCTCAGCCAGGCAAGTTAAGGATCTCCTTCCTTCGTGGGATCATGAGAACTTATCTAATCCAGCCCCCCGCCCCCCAGCTCCCCTCACCTTAGAAAGGAGACAGTTGAGATCTAGAGAGGTCGGATGACCCGGCCAGGCATGGGTGACAAAGGACCAGAGCTGGGACTTGGATGTGGGACTACGTCTCCAGCTGCCATTTTCTCCCCCTCTGCCCATGGTCCTCCTTCCCAGCCCCAGTTTCTTAGTAAGAACTGAGCAGCCTTTGGTTGCTGGCCTCTTTCACCCTCCCCTTTTATGGAGCCCACCTTCTTACCAGCTAAGCAAAACCAAGAGTGATACTTCCCCTGACTATTTTTACCTCTTCTTGGCAGATTTCCTTGCCGCAGGATGGAATCTGTTTCCCTGAACCAGCTTAGTGTATTATTAACCCGAGAGGAAGTGGTCTGGCAATTCACACAGTACAGAGTTAACAACAGAAACAGTGGGGGCTCTGGGACTTTGTAAGAAAGTGTCACTGGAGAGGACTACTTTTCTTCTTTCTGAGCTTCTAATACATTTGTCGTAATAATTTGTACTTAGCTTACAAAGCACTTTCTTTCCAAGAGGAGGACAAGTTTTACAGTTATTCCCATTTTACAGCTGAGGGAGCTGAAGCCCAGAGTGGTGAAGGGTCTGGAGTCACACAGGCACCCAGTGTCAGAGATAGGATTCAAACCCAGGTCTCCTGAGTCCAGTTCTCTTTCTTCTACCAATTGTGTCTGATATGAGACCAGAACAGCCAATTAAAAGGTGAACCGTCTCATCCAGTTGGGCATTCGATGCCATAGAACTGGTTTGACTGATTTTTCCTGGGATGACTGGATGCTTTGGCATCGTGAAGTGATGATCTCCATTGGGATGCTGGGTCATTTGCTTATAGCTGACTCCTTTTGACTTTGTCCAGAGAGTTGTTTGGGGCCTCTTCAAAGCCTTTGGTATTTTTTAAAAGACTCTTAAAAACAAAAGCCTCCACAAAGTCCTACCCTGATGCCTTAGCATGCCAGGGAGGTTTCGCTAAGTTTTAAAAGCTGTGCCCAAGGTCTACCAAGTTCTGACAAGTTCTTCCAAGCTGGCAAGACTTCAAATACAGTTTAGCCTGTTACCCAAGGACCAGCAAGCACAGAGAGGCTCATCACCATTAGGTGATAAATTATCTGGCCACGCCAATCTGTAAAGCATACAGAATAGGCTTATTGTCCTGAGTGCCCAATCCCTTGCGTTTCTTCAGTGATGGTGATAGAGTGGTGGAAATGGGGCCAGAGAGTGCTAGGAGTCACCAGTTTTTAGATTGTTTTTAGATTTAGATTTTAGATTTACATATGAACTTTAATTGGTAATATTTGAAGTGTAACATCTCTCTCTGTCTATTGGCTCATTTCCCCACTGCCTACAAACGTGCCCATGTTTCTTCCATCTTGAAAAAGCCCTCACTTGATCTTTCCATCTCTGCTAGCCCTAGTCCTTCATCTATCATGCCTTTTGTAGCTAAATTCTTCAAAAAGGTCATCTACACTAGGTGCCTCCACCTTCTCTCCTCTCACTCTTTTCTCAACCCCTTACAATCTGGCATCTGACCTTATCATTCCACCAAAACGACTTTCTCCAAAATAATAATAATAATATTTATTATTATTATTATTATTATTTGGTGAGGCAGTTGGGTTTAAGTGACTTGCCCAGAGTCCCATAGTGAGTGTTACGTGTCTGAGGTTGGATTTGAACTCAGGTCCTCCTGACTCCAGGGCCAGTGCTGTATCCACTGCACCACCTAGCTGCCCTCTTTCCAAAATTATTAATGATTTCTTGCTAAATCCAGGGGTCTTTTCTCAATCCTCATTCTTCCAAGCCTTTAGCACTGTTGATCACTCTCTCCTCCTCAATACTCTCTTCTGGCTAGGTTTTCAGGACACCCCCCTCTCTCCTGCTTCTCCTCCTACCCTTCTCCGTCTGCTTTGTTGGATCCTCTTCCGCATCATGCCTGTAAGCCATTGATGTCCCTCAGGGTTCTTTTCTGGACCCTCTTTTCTTCTCCCTCCGTACTACTTCACTTGATCTCCTCAGCTCCCATGGATTTACTTTCCAGCCCTATGCTGAGGATTCTCAGATCTACCTTTCTTGCTCTCATCTTTCTGCTGACCTCCAGTCTCGCATCTCCAACGACCTTTCAGACGTCTTGAACTGGATGTCTGTAAACTTAACATGTCTAAAACAGAATTTTTTATCTTTCCCCCCAAATCCTCCTCCTTCCTAGCTTTCCTGTTACTGTAGAGGACACCCCTCTCCCAATCCTTCAGGCACACAACCCAAGAGTCATCCTAGACTCCTCACTATCTTTCAGTGTGCCCCTCACCCCAGCCAGACTGTTGCCAAGGCCTGTGACTTCACCTGTGCAGGATCTCTCAGATATCGCCCCTTCTGTCTTCTGACACTGCCCCCACCCTGGTGGAGACCCTTATCACCTCACGCCTGGACTACTGCAATAGCTGCTGCTGGGTCTGCCTGCCTCGTCTCTCCCATTCCAATTCATTCAATATTCAGCCGCTGAAGTGATTGTTCTAAAGCACAGGACTCATCATATCATCCCCTACTCAGTAAACTCCAGTGGCTCCCTATTGCCTGCAGGATCAAATGAAAAGCCCTCTATTCAGCATTTAGAGACCTTTGTAACCAACTTTGCAATCTCCTCTCCCACCACCTTTCTAGTCTTCTTACACCTGGGTCCCTACAACGTGTTCTTCCGTGTAGGGACACTGGCCTCCTTGTTGTTCCCAAAACAAGACACTTCATCTCTTTGCTGTGGGCATTTTTCTCTGGCTTTTCCCTATGCTTCAAATGGTCTCCCTTCTTATCACCACTTCCTGGCTTCCCTGGCTTTTTCAAGTTCCAACTAGAATCACATCTTCTACTGGAAGACTTTAATAACCCTTCTTAATTCTAGTGCCTTCTCTCTGTTAATTGTTTCTTATTTTTCCTGTATACAGCTTGTCTGTATATATTTATCTGCATGTTTTCTCCCCCATTAAATTGTGAGAGGGCAAGGATTGTCTTTTGCCTTTTTCTGTATCCCCATCATATGGCACAGTGCCTGGCACATGGTAGGCACTTGATAAATGATTATAGGTTGGCATCTTTGCCTAATGATGAATGAGTTATCATATGATTCCTGGAAGTTGACATGAGCCATATTAAAATTGACAACCTCACAGCAAATTAATTTACAAGACATAGGCAGTTGAAATACCTTTAAGGATGGCACTTCTTAAGGAGGTAAGTAAGAGAGTTAGAAGAATTAGTTTCTTTGTGAACTCAATGAAAAGACTGCTGCGCGTTTCATATTGAGCATGAAAATGCTGCCACATATCACCAATGGAGAATTATGCAGGAGGAGTGGTACAGACTCCAATTAGAAAAATGTGTGACTGGAAAAGAAGGTGGGTTTGAGAGCAAGGCGGAACTGAGGGCCATCCTGGGTATGTCTTTGAGGACCACATCATTTCAAAAGATCTAGTGGAAGGCCCCCATCATGGTAGAAGTCTTATGGACAAGAACCTCACAGAATGAAGTAGAGATCAGTTATGATTTGCACCACCAGAAAGAGCACCCACATCGATCAGATTACAGATCATGGAAGTATCAATGGAAGATGCCCCCTCACTCTAAAATTCTTACTCCTAAGAGTTGAAGTAATAATCATGAATTTTAAAAAAATTGCTAATACTATATCTTTCTTTCCCATAGAAGACCCACCAGAAGCAAACCTCACCTTGTTACTACTAATCTTTACTCATTCTCCCTCTTTTAATACTTCCTGGTTCTTCTGGACAGCAGAATATCATTATTTTTAAATGGTCATAGCAGTTTGGTGAGGTCAGTTTGTATGCCTACTGGAACATATCATCGTATTTAAGGTTTCCAGAAATTTAGAGGAGTATTTATTCTGACTCTCTTCCTTCTTTGCACTCTTCTCCTGAAAGACACTTCTGTGTGCATAACATTTAATGACCCAATGTGTGAAAGGCACCTAAAATTCGTGATTCCCAAGCTTCCTGTTGGTAACCTTTATTTGTTTAGACTTCAGTCTCTCTCAACTGCTGTAGAATAGATTTGCTTTTGTGGGAAGAGAAACAATCTGAAATCTGCATAAAGAGCGAACAGCGCTAGAATTTTTGATGGTTTTGTTACCTGGTCATCCCATTGTGGTTGGTTGTTTTGTTACGCACATCATGTGCTTTGGGTTCCCCCATGATTGCACTTTGCCTGGCCATTCCTAGTATCCGAAGGATTTTTGCAGTGTGGGAAGCCAGGTTTTGACAACAGGGTTCAATAAAGTAATGTCATGATCAGTGGGATCTTTCTAACCTAGAGTTAAGTAGGAGAACCTCAGAGAGTGGTTGAAGAGTCTTGTTTGGTGGGACGTGACACCTAGGCAGCTATGTCCCATTACAGAATTAGAGAATGTTAAAGAAAGGACCTCCAAGGTTATCTAGTCCAATCCATATGCAAGAAGAATTCCCTTTTATGGCATCCCTGAGAAATGAGTCTGTGGTGGGAATCACATCCAGCCTCTGTTTGAAGACCAGTGAGGGGGAACTCACTACTTCTTGGAGCAGGACATTCCATCTCTGAGCTGAGGGGGTTTAGAAGTCATGTGGTGTGACTTGTCACTCTTTTAGCTTAGCTTTTTAATTAATTAATTAAAACCATCTTAGGCACTGCATAGGCCAGTCCGTTAGCTTATCAAAGACTCAGTCTTCCCTCCTCTAAAGTGAGGATTAATAATACTTTCACTACCTATCTCAAGGGGTTGTTGTGAGAAACTTGTTTTCAAAATGTTAAGGGCCATGTAAATGTGAGTTAGGAATAAAAAACAGGCAGATCTTTGTATTCTGTAGCCTCTTTCATCTAAGGTTTTCAGCCTGCCTTACAGACACCTGGTGGTGAATCTCCATTTATAGAGATGGAGACTTTTGAGATTGGAAATTGCTCATTTTCAGCAGCATGCCTGGAAAAAGACCTTTCTAGGTCATAAGTCATTATACCTCCTAATATATTTTAACTATATGTAGAGTGTATATATATATGTATGTCTGTTTGTTTTAACATCCTTTTGAAATGTTCTTGTGAAATGTTCTTGTGAGTATTTTTTACCTAATTTCTGTGTCCCTAGGTACTCAGATTGAAACTGATCTCGTTAATGAAGACTCCAAAGTATGGGTTTTTTCACTGCTTGTAGAATTATTCTTAGCCTCCATCAGTTTAAAGCCATGTGTATTAGTACTAGATGGAATTGAAGAACTGATTGGTGTTTATGGAATTTCAGGACAGAAGGTATAATTTTTAAAAAATTATATTTATCAATATTTTTACTTGATAATTAATGAGTTAAAATAACATTACACGCCACCTTTCTACTCTGTATTTAAAATTTCATCCTTCATGTTCAGATGTGATACTGTTGACAGTTATTGCATGGTATAATATCATGGCTAAAAAAAGTTCTAGGATTTGGATTTTTGTATTCCACACACTTGATCTATCCACACACATATATGCCTATATATATGTGTGTGTATATATGCATAAATACATAAACACACACATTTGTATATATGTACATATTATATACGTGTGTGTGTGTGTGTGTGTGTGTGTGTGTGTGTGTGTAAAATGATGAGTTAAGTACACCTTTGCTCTGCCTTTACTCCCTATCCTTGTATCAGAAAGAATTTTTAAGCAGGAAAATAACTGAATTTTCCCCATGAGGTATTTAAATGCCCCACAGCATTCTTTCTGAAACAAGTTTAATTATTCTACTTGCCTACCAGAACACATAACTCTTTAACACAGTAGTAATAATGATAGCTACATTTGTATAGCACTTTGAGTTTTGCAACGTGTTTTATGTAAATTGTCTTATTTGATCATATATGTTTTTTTCTTCCTATGATTTAGAATGGCAACGTTGATTAATCTGTAGCTTGAGAACGCTCCTAACGCCCAGTGCAAGCATACTTGCTAAATTTAGCTAGCTATGGACCACGAGGACATCCTTCAAACACATACTCTTTTATTAAGCTAATTATTCTTTTAAAAATTCTTTTGTGAATATTTTTTGTTTTTTCATCATCTTAATTTCCCAATAGATTCCTCCATTATCCAGAGAGCCTTTCCTTAGGACAAATCATTTTTAAAAAGGGAGGAAAAGCACCTCATTTAGCAAAAGTAACCACTGTATTAGCTAAGTCTGCCATGATAGCTAATGTTTCCCAAAGCCTGCCCATCTCCTCCCCTCCTTCTACCTCTATAAAGAAGGGAAGGAGGTGATTTTTTTTCTCTTTTTAAATCTCTTCTTCTGGCCAAGCTTGATCATTATAATACAATAAAATTCAATTTCTTTTTCTTTCTTTTTTTTTTTTTTGCTACCGCACTTTCTGTTTACATTGATGTGGTCATTGTATATATTGTTTTCTGGTTCTATTTACTTCACTTTGCACTAATTCATATAATAATAATGATAACAAAACAGCAACAAGTAGCAATTATATAGTGTTTTAAGGTTTGTAAAGCACTTGGTGTAAAAGATGTGTTTTCTCACAACTAACTCTAGGAGGTAGGTGCTGTTATTATCATCCTTTTACACATGAAGAAACTAAGGCAGAAAGAGGTAAGTTGACTTACCCAGGGCCACACAAGTAGGAAGGATTTGAACTCAGGTCTTGTAACTCCAAGTCCAGTGATCTCTCTACTGTGCCTCCTTATCTTCACATTTATGATTTCTTCGGTACAATGATATCCAATTACATGAATCCACCAGTTGGTTTATCCATCCCCCAGCTGATGCTAATCGTTCTTTTAAGAGTTTGATTGATGATTTTCGTTTTTACGTCCCCTTCCGTTCCAAATGTATCTCTCCTTCTTCCGCTACCCAGAGGTATCCTTTGGATCAAAGATGAAAAGATGAGGAGAGGCAAACAAATCATAATTCAGTAAGACTAAGCGGCCTGCCCACCGAGTCTGACAGTACGCCCCATCTTTCACAGCCGCAGCCCCTCACCTTTGCAAAGAAGGGAGAGAGGGGCAGCTTCTCGTTTTTTGTTTTTTGTTTTTTAATTGGCTGGAAAACTTGGTCAGTGTAATGAAAAACTATTCAGGGCTTTTTGTTTGTTTGTTTGGGGTTCCTCTCATCTCCACTGTATCTATGATCTCTGTTGCTCTCCTTGGCTCCGCGCACTTCACTGTGCACTAGTTCATGTAAATCCTCCTGTACATTTCTTCATCCCTCACATCTGTTGTTTCTTAGAGTACAGTAATATTCCATCACATCATGTATGTACTTTGTTTAGGCATTCCTAAATGGGTGCTCATTTTCTTTTAAAAAGCACTTTTCGGTGTCCATATTTTGCCAGAAATTTTTTTTTTTAAGGCAATTGGGGTTTAGTGACTTGCCCAGGGTCACACAGCTAGTAAATGTCAAGTGTTTGGTCTGAGCCCGAATTTGAACTCGGGTCCTCCTGCCTTCAGGGCCAGTGCTCTATCCACTGCACCACCTAGCTGCCCCAAGAAAAAATTTTTTAAGGAAAAAAAAAGTTATTTGATACGTTTAGCATTTTATACCACATTCATTTCCTAAAATTCTTTATCTTCTCTCCACCAGAACCTCCCCTTGGAACAAAGAAAGAATGATATCTGAGCGAAACCTCTGAATATACCTCCTATGTCTGATGGCTATGCCCTATACCTATAGCCACCCATTTCTCTGCTGAGAACGGGCACGTGTTGTCCTCTGCAGGCAGATTGGGTGAACGCGGTCAATTCTAGAGCAGCTTTCTTTCATTGTTGTTTTCCTTTACCTTATTGTGGTTGTTGTATCCACTGTTCTCCTAAATTCTTAATTAAGATGCTAGAATAGTGTGTGAAGTCAGATAGAGGGATACTGCGTTTGAACCATTTTTCTCGCCATCTTTGCTTGCTGTGAGACCGTATCAAGTTATTCTAACTGGAAACCATTGGCAGGATTATTTTGAAAATATCTTAAAATGTAAACATTTCTTTGACTTTCTCTATTAGGCAAAAGACTTTTCCTGGCTGCCCCCCTCCATTTCCCCTAATTGTAAGTTAATCATGAGTACGGTATCCTCCAGTCTCTCTTACAAATCACTGTGTGCATGATCAGATGTAAAAACAGTGGAGCTCCCCATTGCCTCTGATGAAAACACAGTTATCAAAATTTTTGAACAGTATCTCACAGTACCTCACAAAAACATTTTTTCCTATCTAGAGAAATATAGCTCAAGAAAAAAACCATGCCTAAGTCCTTTGAAAGTTGCAATTTTGGCCAATGAGTTTCAAGAATGTCGACTCTACAGAGACGAGTCAGAATGTATTCAGGAATACTTGGAAGTGCTTTCTATCCAGGAGCTATGGGAATTAATTCTCAAGTGATGGGTTGAGAACTACAGTTGGATTATCAAACCCAAAAAGGTAGTATCACCTCTACCAGATACTAAAAGCCGTAAGTACATTTTCTAATGAGAGTTTGTATCTTTTGTGTCCCAAAGTAGCGGTACGAACAAAGATGGAGTGAGAGACACTCTCGGACCTGTGGTAGTCTGAGATAGAAGGGAATGAAGCTGTTTAATTCAATTTGGCAAACCCATTTATTAAATACTTGCTGAACACAGAGTACTGTAGTTGGAGGTTTGCCATACAAAGTTTAAATAGGTCATATAGTCCCTACCCTCATGGAGGTTGTTGGGTTAGGGAAACATGCCCTACAAAAACCACAGCAAACCTGACATGTAAAGTGACACCTGATGAGCACCTCAAACAGGTGAAGCAAAGGGTTATCAATGTTATGGAAGGACCGAGGAGAGGATGGCTGTTCCTGGAGGTGGTGGGAATGGAGGGAGCAGGGAGAGAGCTCAAGGGTCATCATCCAACCTCCTCATTTTACAAATAAGGAAATTGAGTCATAGGGAAGTGAAGTGACTTGTCCAAGATAATTCAGATAGTAGTCATTAAAAGTGGGATTTGAACCCAAAACCTCCAGCTCCAGAGCTGGAGCTCTTTCTACTGTGCCATCGTCAGGGAGAACTTTCTGGAAGAGATGCTATTTGAATTGGGCTTTAAAGAAGGCTATGAATGGGGGAAGAGAAGAAAGGTCAGGAAGGTATTTCAGGCCCAAGGAACAGTAAGGAACCTGGGAAAGCACAGGAAATGTTTGGGGGATGACAAGTGAGCCAGGCTGGCTGGAACAAAGAGCAGCAGAAGATAAGATCTTGAGGCCAGGCTGATGCCAGGCTAAGAGGACCCTCAACACTGGGTAAAGGAGCTTGGACTTTTTAGTAAATGAGGAATCTCAGGAGGATTTTCAGGAGGAGAGTTCCATGACTAGATCAGGAAGGTTCATCAGGCAGGGTGTGAAGGATTGAGTGGAGGAAGGACAGGAGGCAGGACTGCTCTAGGAGGCTGCCCTGGGTAGGAATTGGGCCTTCTTCTTGAGGCGGTAGCAGGTGTGGAGGCAGGCATGGAGGCGGAATCACCATGGATGAAACAATGTCCACAGTAAGGCCGGGATTTCAAAGCTGAGGCACCAGCAGATGATGAAGTTGGAAGGAGGTGTTTTAGTGTGGTTAGAAGGATCAGCTTAGTTTTTAACAGCTCAGACTTGAGATGCCAGGGGTGTGGAAGTGGTGCCTGTCAGCGGGTGGAGGGCGCAGGATCACTTATGTTAGAGCTGGGATGGACCTTAGAAGCCCATTAGTCCAATCCTCTCATTATACAGGTGAGGAAACGGAGGCTAAGTGACTTGCCCAGGATCTCATAGCTAGTAAGTGTCTGAGGCAAGATTTGAACTCCATTCGTCCCTTGTCGCAGGTTTGGAGCTTGGGAGAGAGGCCGGGGCTCGAGATCGAGCTTTAGGGGAGCCATCTGTGTAGAAGTGATGATAAATCAGGGCTATGGGAGTGAATTAGACTCCCCAGGGAGAGAGCGCAGAGAGAGAAAACCCAGGCCTGAACTTTGGGGAGCAGCCACATTTGGGGGTGGATCAAAGAGAGTTTTGGGTGCCCTTGCTGGGTCAGAAGGAGGGGGAGTGGTATGGGAGTCATAGTGTTGTGAAGATGTTGGGGGGCTGAGTGTGAAGACATTGGCGCTGGCCATTGATTCAAAGGAATAGCAACTGGACATCCGGAGCAAACAGTTTTTATTTCCATCCAGATTCTTGAGTGCTCTCACATTTCCAACCCTTTGGTTTACAGGGGCAGGGGTGGCCTGGCCGTTTGCATGGATACGCTGGCAGACAATTTGTGTAACTGGACGCCCCCTAGTGGACTCAAAACATGAAGCAGAACCAGAAGGCTTTGTGGGGATGGTGCTTTGCTGCATTGCCCAAGCACCAAGTATTCCTTGTTCCCTCACCATGCAGGGTTACTAGTACAATGAGTGAAATGATCGCTGCTTGCAAGGGCAGGGATTTCTAATACTCCTAGTTATTTCTCCTCTCAGCTGTAGCAGCTAGGGAGCTCTCTGGACATAGTTGTGTCCTCATTTCTCTTGATCACAAAGCCAATGAGAATTCCAGGTGAGGTTAGTCTTAGGTTTGGTTGATCAGAAAGCCAATGAGAATTCCAGGTGAGGTTAGTCAGTCAATACATATCTACCATTTGTACTGAGCACTGGGAGGCAGAAGATAGCTCTTGGTCTCAAGGAGCACACAGTCTAACAGAGAAGAAAAGTGGAGAACAACTCTGTGCAAACACCGTAGATGCAGGATAAAGGGTTGGAGAATGTATGGGTGAAGAGAGAAATAAGATCTAGCTTAATGTAATACAATTCCTGCTTCTGGTGGCTTGTGTGGTGGGGTGGCGGTGGTCCTACCCTCCAGATCATTCATTCATATAAATATGAGGCAGGGATTGGAAAATTTTATGTAAAAGTGTTATATAGGTATTCACCTTTTGTTCAAAAAGCATGCACCACATCCATATTGGCAAGTGCCACTAATTTCTTTCTTTCTTTCTTTCCTTCTTTCCTTTCCTTCTTTCCTTCTTTCCTTCTTTCCTTCCTTCTTTCTTTCTTTCTTTCTTTCTTTCTTTCTTTCTTTCTTTCTTTC